CTTCAGAAAGGGCATATAGTAGCATGAAGCCTTGGTTATGTGATCACATTTGTGATAAGGGTAATTTATAGTCAGGATTAGTCAGTAATAAATATGATGATGGCCATATAATATATAACATTTATTCAGCAATCATGCATTTAATTCTTACTGAGTGTATTTTAAACATATTTATGAGCTTAATATCTTCCACAATCTCCTTTCCATAGCCTTGTCTTCCAGAGTAGTTGAGTTTGAGTCTAATAGTCTTTGAATTCTTCCTTCTAAAACTCTGTTTTCTTTCTTGGGTTAGACATTTTTCTCTGCTGTAATCTTCAGAGGTGCAGGGTGCATGTGTTGCTAGGAGGTCTAAGAGACCAATTTGAGGTGTCACTTTTAGCTACTCTCTGGTCCAGGTGACACTCACCTATCTCATCAGTCTCTAACCTCCTTTCAAGTTTATCTGGTAAAACAGGTCAGTCATATAAAAAGTGATAGAATTCAAGTATCCTGACTGGAGGAATAACAAACAGCCTTTCCCTTTGAAGTGCTACAGCCTGAGCAGCATTTGGTGGGCCAATTTCAAAGGAATCTGAAGGTGACCTCACCACTTTCCAGGCACCTGTGTGGCTTTGAACTTTTATTTGTTTTGAAGAAAGTGTCACATGAGCTTTCCACATAAAAAATATACCTTTGAAGCTTACATACTTGTGAAGCCCCGATGTCTGCATCAGACTAAATCAAGTGAGTGGAGGAAGGAAGGTTAACTTTTTTTCTTTGACTGCAGCTACAGATACTATCACTGTGATAACAGTTTGGAATTTGAACAGAAGAGAGCTAAAGCTCATTATGTGGTTGGTATATTTATAAATAGTTGGAAAATATGTAATTGACTGGTAAATGTATATTATGATAACGAATACTGATACCGAGAAAAGTTGATCAAGCAAAATTAGAGTTTCAGGCTAGGATAGGTTGTTTTAATAAGGAGATTATAATAAATAATTGGGGAAACATGATAGTTTTAAATTCTACATTTCATGCTTACAGTCTAAGCTAATTGAAAACTCGGATATGCCACTGCAATTTTAAACTGTGTGTGGTGAAAATATCTTTGAAGTCTCTCTGCACTTGATGAGCAATGTCTTCAATGTATTTTAAGACATTTGTATATAACCCAGAATTAGCTACATGAAATTTGTTTCACTTAAGCAGTATTTAATTAGAAAACAGCATTTTAAATATTGACAACCATTAAAAATCTGTGTTTCTACTCAATTGATGAATAGGAACAATCTAAACAAATTCCTACATATATATCAAACTAACAAATAAGGAAAAAAATGTAGATTTTTAATCTTGGAAACCAGAGATTAAGAGTAATGTCATATATTAGACAGGCAAAAGTTAATTTCGCTCAGACAAGTTAAGGACCATTATTCAGCCATCACGTTAACCTACAAATTACAAACATTTCTCCTTCATGCAACACTTATCAGGGATTGAATGGACAAATAAATTAAATGTGATTTCTCAATATTTAATTTTGACTATCTTTTTAAAGTGTATAGGTCTATTAAATTTACCTGAATCTTTAATATGTTTTATTATCTTCCCTCTAATAAATATTTTAATA